GCTAAAGTTGCCATTTCATCAAACATCGAGTCCAAGGTAAATTGCTCAGCCGTGTTGAAATCCGTACCCTTTGCAATTGCTAAATTACTCACGCATCTCCGACCACTAATTAATGTTTTACTTGCAATTTGCTGTAGATTACGTAAGCTGCCGTTATCCTAGAATCGATTCAAAATGATTCGTAATGATCGAAAAGCATGATAATGAATCTTATCACTTATACAAGATGTAAAAAATATTTATGTAGTTTACTCTTATTTAAATAATGCGATAATTTCTCGAATATTTCAGCTATATAATTTTTAATATTAATGGTGCTTAAGAATTAAATAAACCACGAAACAATGAGTTAAATATTACTATAAAATATTAAGAAATCGGGAACATTTTAATTTAACTAATAATTACATATCTGTGTTATCTTTTTGAAACAACACTAATATTATATTATGGCTCAAAAATCGAAAAACGGAAATATTATTTGTAGAAATATAAAATATTTATATTCCCATAAGAAATATAAAAAATAAACTAAAAATCTTATAAAACAGATAAATCAAATAAATATTTTACAAATTAATAAGACACGGGAAATTGAAGAAACAACAGAAAGTAACGGAGCAGGTTTTCTGAAAATAACTATATTTGTATTGCGCATACTGTGTGATACGGTTTATCTTACAGTGATGCACTTGATGGAGATATGCTTGAAACATCAACTAACAATAAATGGCGAATGTTTGCTGTATGTACGTTTATATGTACAGTTGTTTGTCAGAGTCGCACCGCAGTTATCCTGCCGACGAATGGAACGCGTGCATATTAATTAATTCTAGCTCCAGCTTCCTAAGTGACGACCTAATTTCACACGGTTGCCCGAATACAGGAAGGTCTGGGGTAAACTACGTTCCGGCGAGTTTGGCGCGATTCTTGCGCCGGGAATTGGGATTTAGTGGGTGTACCTAACGTGATTAGCCGATCGGCGCGTTTCACGCGTGTGCCGTTCGCATCGGACGGGCAGACTTTGATCCGATAATCCGCTTATTTTGCAAAGGGCCGACAATTTGGTAGTGAAAACATGCGGGGAGGAAGGAGGGGGAACATGCATATGCTGGAAAATGATGCGTCATCTCGGTATCGTTGAAATTGTGCCATAAACAACAATATTCATCATGCATAAGGATCGGTATCAGAGATAGATTTGCTTTCATCCAAGTTACAGTGCGAATAACTCCGTTCATGAATTCAATAAATTAACGAAGAGCGATTGTCAAAGGAAAGCGTTCTTTGCAAAAAATCTATAATTGAATAAATTTATCAAGAAATATTGCACGGCAATGTGAGATCTTGTATTAAAAATAATTTTACCAAATTTATGATTATGTTGAAAAATTATTATAATACGGTGTTTTCGTAATATCAATTATGCACGGCGCACGATTTCTTTGCGACTTTTAAAGCGATAGTTAAAATCGATTATGCACCCGCTATAAGGATGCGAAACATTTTGTTGCCTTTGAAATTCTAATGAACTTATGATACGGGGCAAGTTGAGTTCAATAGCATTATTTACGTTATGCTGATGTACGTAACACAGTATAGGCCATTAACGTCCTACTCTTCGACATTTTCTATGTAAAGTGCACCATTCTTCTGCTTTTAACAACTTATTTTCATTGATTTCATAAATCAAATTAAAATTTGTAAATATTTCAGATTTTAATTAGGTATATAACACACGTTTCCCTTCATATTTGTGCGATATATTTCTCCTTTGCTGTCAGATCTTACGTAGGAAACGTCAAACTCGACTCCGATATCTTGGTTAATTATTTCTAGCAGCGGAACGGAAGAACGTCACTGTCAGAACACAGAATAAACGGGAATACGGGATCTCAGCGTTCTGTAGTTTACCCGATGATTCGTAGCGATGTGATACAAACGAAAGATATAATTAGAAACGAAACGTCGACGGATGTGATGAAAAACGTTTGTCGAAGCGGCAGGAAATAATCATCCTTTTAAATTAAAAGAAGTAATTAAAATCATGATTCGCATGCATTCGTTGAAGAATCGAAGTAGTTGCGAATGTTGGGATAACAAAGTTTTGAATCTCATCGTGCTGATCGCAGGATATGAAATAAAATTTTATCGTAGCTTTCATTATATGAGACGAGCTAGCTAGCTTGGTAATTGATAATTATATATGTAGAATATTTTAATTATAGCTTTGCTAAAAGATAAGTGTAGATAAATGAATCGCGTGTTAAATGCAATGTTTGAACAAAGATAGTAATTGTGTTTCTTTTATTCATAGGCGCTTAAATATATGTTTATTATTCTGTGTTGAATATTAATTATTACGAAAAAAAAATTTTCTAAAAACATTTCAAAATTAACTGCAGTTATAAATTATAATAATTTATGACGTTATAATAAATAATAATAATAATAATAATAATAATATAATAAATAATAATAATATAATAAATAATAATAATATAATAATTTTGCTTTTTAACTTTATGGAAAAGTTTGTATAAAAAATAAATATTTAGTAAGTACATTTTCAAAGGACAGTGGAATTAATGAATCATAGAAAATTAATCATCTATATATATAGAGAGAGATCTCAAACAGCCTTTAGAATTTGCTCTAAAATGTAGCGGACGTAGTATTCACGCCGAAGTACATTAAAACTTGTTGAGTCATCAAATCCTATAATGAAGTTTACGGAGTTTTCATTGTTAAATTGATTAATGAATAAAATTCCGAAATCCTTTCCGAATTGGAAGTTTCAAACATATTTTAGCTTAATGGTCTTTAATACTATCTTGACATTAATAATTTAAAAATAATTAAAAAGAAGTTTTAAAAAAGATAATTGTTTGAGGAATAATTTTCTCATTACAACTCTATAACAAATCTATAAGATAAATCATCAAATAATATTTATGTATAAGATTTATTAATATATTTTGTCATATTTTTTGTGCTATTCTTGATTCAACATAATTATATAGATCTCCGGAATAAAATAATAGAATAAGGTTATGTCAAGAAATATTATGTAAAGGAGTATTTCAGAGCTGACATCAAGCACAGGAATATTAGAACAATATTTTATCAGAGTACATGCGCTGAGAAGAAACGCCGCTGGCACGGACCATAATATATTATGAATAGCCTGCACAAAGTATATAAGAGCTTTATCAGCTATTCAGCAAAAAATTCATCTTAACGGCAAGCGTATCCTCCACAAATGGCGGATTTACCGAAGCGGATGGATGATAAATTCTTGCCTGTGTCGTCATCGAAATGCCGCGGTTCTCGCGACGCAGGCGTTTCAAACTTTAATGAGGTGACGAAAGAATTTCTCGAATAAAACGGTACGACGAACAAAGATGGATTTATGTCGCGAATGGAACGTCGACAGGTGAAGTTAAACTTTGTCGGCATTTCTGATGGAATTCCTATCAAACTTGCGAAACCTAATACCACCGTTAATGGTTAAAAAGTTACAAAACGATAGTAAAAATCTCAAACAGATGCTCAGCGGCACATTAAGATACGATAATAGCTTTAGAAGAGAAAAAGATAAAAGAAAGAGAAAGAAATCCAAGGTGCTTACTTATTTTTTACTTTCCATCTAAAATGAAGATTTATTTACTATGTGTTTTCGATGAAAAAAAATGTTCTCAATATGATATTTTTGAGAATTTTTATAATGCGCGCGCACACACCAAAGAAATCTCGTAATAATTTTCTCCGTAGCGAAGCATTATGGAATGGTCTTCTTTGTCGCGTACGTGACAATTCTGTTTCTATGAACGAAGGAAGCAAGCGCATTCTGAAATATCTTTCGCGACAATTCATAACGCGATTATGAGCCAAGCCTGACAATTTCTGGAAAGCATCAACGCGTTAGAACGCGCTTTCGCTCGCAGTGGAAATCCAACCAACGAGACTTAGTAGAAATATCCGCTATCGCATTAATTTATTATCGCAGATGGATCGGCGCTGTATTGTGAAAACGATAAAGGATGCGGATTTATAATGAGATCGCTTCGCCGATTAATAAAGCGGTACTTCGTTTGCGGTTCTCCGACGAACATCCGCTCGTTTACGGATGCGATTGCGAAAGGAATATCGCTGGCGACGGACGCAAAAGGAAGCTAAAGTTTACCGCAATTCCGCGGCTCAGCACCGTAAATCCAACGTAGTGAAAGAGACGATCACGGAGTTATATATAGCGCTGTCCCCTTTGAGCCTTTTCGGCAGCAAGGGTGATAAATTCTGCTCTTTTGCTCGATAACGCTTCTTTATTTCGAAGCCACTTCATGCTCAAAAAAGCTCTTTCCCGTATTTTTATGCGTGTTTTTACATTTTTACATTTTCTTTTCTAACAATTTTTGATTTAACAAATTGTTGACTCGGTAAATTTACTTTGCGTTCTGTCTCATACATTTTATCATACCTTTTAATTCGAAGCTTAAAGCTGCGTAAAATATATATTTGCTGATGACAAAGTTAATTCAATTTATAAATGTTCACTCATATTAAAGTATTGTATAATAAATAAAAAGAAATTGTCTTTGATATCGTAATTTGCGTTCTCCATAACACTTTGTAATAATACTTTGTCGGCCAAAACGAAGAAATATCTTGTGCACAACTGCTGTCCGTTTGTGATTTTCCGTACTCGAGATTTTAAAAGAAACTTTTTATAAGAGAAGTTTTTCCCTTCGATGTAAATTTCAATGCAAAATTTATGCAAATGCATGCAAACATCTAAATGCATTAATAGTGCCGCAAAGAAATTTAATGTTTGGCGAAATGGCATTCCAGTCTTAGTTCGGTGCTTTAGTTTAATTATTCGTCCGTCTTTATGCATTTATTTGCGAACGCTGGAAACTGCACCATATCTTCCTGTACGACTAGCAATAGCTTTCGGAAGCTAAAGTTCCGTGGTAGGTAAAGTGCATGCGAAATAACCTTACCTCCTCCCAGACGAGCTGCTTACTAACTCCCGGTCGAAGATTCATAATTTTCAACTCCGCCGCCTTTAACACACCGTCTTGAGTGAACTCGACGTTCGGCTTTCCCTGATCACCTTCAACGGAGACGTTCTTCAAATACCTAAAGAGAATAAGGAATGTGTGTTATAATACATAAAGTCAAAAAACTGAGAGTATATATTTCATAAGAATTATAATTGAAAATACATATTATTCAAAGGCATCAGATAATATAATGTCAATATTTAAAATATCAAATCGTGGAATCAACTCTTGTGGCAAGAGAATAATTATATTCCTGTTTTATAAAATTCTGCAAATTTGCTGTATTAAAGAAAAATCTTCCATAACGAAATTACTCGGACGGAAATTCCGCGAGTCAGAATATTATGCGTGTTTATTCAACAAATACATCTATCTTCATTTCGAAAAATTATGCGAAATTACTTGAAAAATAGATCCCCAGTGCTCCATCGTGATTCACCGGCACCCTCGCAACTCAGCTGTGTGTTCAAACTACGATTTGCATTTTTTGGGTCGTTGACGAAGTCCTCGACACCGTAAGCGTAGACCTTGATTGCCGTTGTAATCTCGCTTACCAAGCTCTCGCTACTTGTATCGAAATGCACGCCTGCAAGAGGAAAAAAAAAGCATTGAAGCGGGTTCGTTAAAGCGATTTCATTACCGGTGGGATTTATGTTGGCTCGCAGGATGATGATCGATTCAATCGTACCAGCGCATAAAGGCAGAGATTTTCAGTATTTTTCACCTTCCTCCGACGATGGTAATCGGATGGAAACGAACGACCAACCGAGCGAGCTTGTAAATAATTCACGAGACACGGATTCTATTTCTCAATATAGAGCTTATTGCTCGGCCTCTTTGATACTAGCGGCCTCGCGCTTGTGGACGTTTACAGAAATTGGATTTTTGCAGTAACTGGGTTCCAACTTGTTCTGGTTTTTGCTTATTCACTTCTAAATAAAGTCGCGGTTCTGTATTAAATATATCTGTCTAAGAAAGGCATGTATCGCATGCCAACAACAGAATATAATTTTGACTTCAAAATAGAATGTATTTGGAAATTTTTATTCTTTATAAACTTTTAATTCTGGACATCAAATATTAAATAATTCGCGTCATTCAAATAAAAAAAAAAAGGAAAAATGTATTTTGTAGATATAACGCAATACAAAAGACAAAAAAAATAGGTAACAATTTTTTTTCAATTTCACAATAAATTTTTTCGCGGAAAGCCCAATTGTCATCGTCGATTTTATTTCGCTCTCGAATGTTCGTTTGCCAACTGTCGCTTCTCATATTCGAAGTATATATTTCTTTTTGCCCAGAATTTTCACGAAAAATTTGCACGTGGCAAGACGTTTCATTCGACCAGATTTTCATGCGATATAGTGTGCCAACCATATTTCCATGAATATCGAAAGTGCCAGCGGATGTGAGACGCGAGGATAAATCGATGTATTGCAAGGCCGAGAAATGTCGGCCATTCATGCAACAATTGTCGTGTCTTCTGCTTTCTGTTCGACAACGTAAAAGTCAAATCAATAAAATTTATTTGCATTGTACAAGCATATTTTTAGATGTGATATTTATTGATCGAGGATTCAACGAGAAATTCGTACAAAAAAGAATATCTTAAATGTATCGTTGCACGCGCGCGCGCAATTACCAATTTCGTGAAAACAGCTGGTGAAATGATTTTTTGATTAACTTTTCAACACTTTTTTACATCATCTAAAATAAGCGTAGCTCTAAAAAGTGAACAATGTGCTCGTATAACATCGAGAACAAGCATTCAATGTTTGCAAGCAACGTTTTCTCTGCTCGACATGTGGCATTCATATTTAAAAACGCAAGGTGTTTGCATTCTATATAGCACGAGTTTACCATGTTAAAGTTTTAGCTCAGAGAAATTCAGACGTGAGAGATTCAACTCAAGTTATGTTATTCCATATGGTTCACTGGATGGAATTCGACGAATTTATTTTCCCCTCAAGGATATTCTTGGAAAAATCTTGAGGAAGAAATCAATTTTCTGTTTCCACGATTCTGGTCACGGTGTGAATAACTCTTTCGTCTATCCGAAAAGCTATGTATTTTTCCTGATAAAAGGCATATCCGGAATGTTAACGCATGCATAAACGATGTAAATATTCTCGAATTCACCGCGATGTCTACGTATTCAAAAGAGCTAGCACAAAATAATAAATAAATTTCGAATAAAATCAACGTCAATGATCAACAAAAATTGCTTTTCTCTCGCTGCGAGCGCATACACTGGATTTTATTTTAAATTATAAGTTCAATCATAAAATTAGTTACAAAAATAGCCAAATTGATATGCGGTTAACAATATCATACATTGAAAATATTGTTGCAACAAATGTAACTCGATAAAATTATTAATATCCTTAAAATTTGTGAATATATTTTAGTCAGTGTTCTACAAATTTGTATAATTAATATCAAAATTAAGAGAGGTAGTGGAGAAGATTTTGCAATGTGTAATTTTATAAATACTCGTTGCAGCAAATTTTCATTCAAATTAAAACAATTTAGCTAAAATTGGTTGAACCGTGAATATCTATGCAATAAATGTAAAACATAGTTTATATTAATTTGGCAGAGCAAGATAGCGTCCGTGTACTCGGAGCGATATTTCGCATTTCTATGAATCTACGCTTCCAGCAACCACAAACACGCGAAATTATATGAATAATTTCGTTACTCACCTAACATTCCGACTGGAAACTGGGCGGGTGTCTGCAGATTCTCAATAACGCTCTGCGTGACAACCCACACGTAATTTTCGCCGGTAATTTTGTAGTCTCTGGCATGTTTTAAGATGTTTGTAGCTTCGTCTCTGGTCGAGTACAGTAGCATCACACGAGACTCGCTGTTGACCAGTTCCTGCAGATCGTGCGGTTGAGTGACCAGAACGGCGTTCAGTATAGTGAACTTGAATGTGTCCTGCATGTCGGAGATTCTCTCCCTGACCGCCTGTATGAAGTCGTCGTGACCAGCTATTTGCGAGGTGACTATGCTAAACTGATGCCACTTGTACCTCTCCAGGATACTCAGCATCGCCGCGGTCTGATGTTCCAGTGACGGCGCCAGCTGCAGCTGCAGGCTACTCTGCGATGCTCGCTGCAAACCAAACGCGGGATTTTTACTCGTCATGTGTTTTAAATGTCGACGAAACAGGTGGTCCGACTTTAATTTTAGCTTTAAGTTATAAAAAATTACGGCCAGAACAAACAGGTAAAATTGTGTTATTTAACCGCGCGTTTAATCTCGCGTATTTCAACGTAAGTTAAGAAATTCTTTTAGCGTTGTAAAAAATAAATTTTATCTGCGAGCGCACACAGATATTTTTCGCATGCCAGAGGTATGAGTTTGTAAATTCTTCTCCTTTTTAATTTTTACTTCTGACTCACCCTCTCGAGACCAGAATTATCGGCGTTCCATGCGATCACAGGAATTCCTAGGTAGCCGGCCAATTGAAGAAAGTATTGAGCACTGGCCGTACTGCGTCCGTATTGCTCGTAATTCGTAAGGTATAAGATGGCCGATACGTTCACCGAAAGAAACTCCTTGCAAATCGAGTCTAAGATCGCTGAAACACAAATTATTTTATTATAGATAATAATTCTACTTTAACAAATAGACGCAATAAATAAATATCTAAAATTTTAACTCGTATAAAAATTTTCAAAAATATTTAATTTTGTAGTTTAATATACAATACATTAATATATAATTTTCAGTTATTTCCAAAAATTAAAATTGTATGTATTAATAGAAATAACTTTATATACGCTCATTTTTCCCAATTTTACTCCTACAACCTCACATTTTTATATTTGACCAATAAAAGTAAGTGATTATTGGTAAACAACGGACAATTATTGCGCTTTATGAATCATGACAATGCAGTCAATCAAACGGATCTTTATTTCATTAAAGCAATTAAACGCTGAATGCATTATCGTTCAGCCGCGGGCAAAAGCGGTACGTGTAGTTTTAGTTTTTTACAATGCTCGCCCCAGCCGTGCCGGTATTATTCTTTCCTTTTAGCTCTGTTAAATTTATTTCCGCATCTTTATCAGGCGCACACCCATTTTTCGAACAGTGGAAAGCAAAACGACGACAGACCGTGCACGGATCGTGCTATTCCGACCAGCAATGTAGTCCGACCTGCCTCACGCAGCGACACGCTTGGCCGACTAACCCCTTTCTCGCGTACTCTATTGTTTCTAGATGCGGGATAACTTGAAATTTTGATTTAACTGATTTTCACTTCGTCACGCGGGATTTGTTCTATTTGATTTATCCAAACAGATCTGCAGAAGTTGAATGAAAATTTCAAAAGCACTTAAGACAAACAACAATG